TGGTGTGGTGAAGAAAGCCTAATTACTAGGTGAGTAGAAAAAAAGAAGGGGACGTGTCTTTTAAAATCTTTTCAATAGACAGTAAACGACAAATGTTATTTATGTTAACAAAGTCTGACTTATAGGAAACCATTAGACAGTGTGGATTAGTAAACCTTACACTTGCTTCCATCATAGGCTGAGCACATTTCCATCTGCTTAACCCCATTCCCTTGCAGCAGAAGACGTCAGTGGGCTTTGCTAAGTAGACAAGAGCAACATCAGGGCAGGGAATGCTGCTAGAATAATCTTGGCACAATATGGATACCATGTTATTTCTCTTCCTGATATTACACTTAACGTGATGTTACTGTATTTTCTTAAGTGCGTTGAGAGTCTCCAGGATACAAGTATTCTAAACAGAAAACAAAGTAGCCTGTTCCTTAGTGCTCTTTTACAGCTCTAGCTGAGAACATCCAATGAACAAAATTCTAGATAGATTATTATAATTTGTCACATTTACCTTCTATTACTGTTTGAGATTTTAGCAAAGAAGTATCCACTGCCCAGTGTGTTCTAGTTACACCAAGACTATGTCTACTTATTGATGCTTTTAAATGAGTAAGAGGCAGAATGGTGGGAGACAGATATTTTTGAACATGCATTTTTAAACAAGCGGTTTGTATCCTCCTCCTTCCCCCAGCACAATATAGTCAAATTTGCATTTTGCTTTTGCATTTAACAGGAGGTAACTATTATTATTGAAGGGGTTTCAACCAGCAATTTGAAAGTCACATATTAGTTTATCTTTTAGCTGTTTATAGTGAGATGCTTCTAACACTTGTGTTCTATCTAACAGAAACCGGGTTCAGATGCCATTCTCTGTAATGCTGTTGAAATGATTCGTGAGAGTTTAACCATAACGGACAGTAAAGAAGCAGAGCATAATTTAAAGGAGGAATATGTTTATGACATCTACTGCATGGAAACAGCATCTCCATGCTGGATTGAGAACATACTGTCTGTTCAGCCCTACACCCAGGATTGTGAACTGGTAAGCAAATGGAAAAGAATGTCAAATAAGTGACAAAGGGGACTAAAGAAGAGAATGAGAACCTACTGTGAATTTAGGTCAACATTAGAGCATAAAAGCAAATATATGGGAGCATTTTTAATTGCTAATCACATTTAAAGACAATGTTTAGTTTGACTGACTTACAAGAATATCCAAATGGGTTAGGCGGGATATAAATAAAATTTTATTATTTATTATTTATTATTACGACTGATAACTGAAATAAACTCCCAAACACTGTTTATTAGATAAAACTGAAATAAATTGGATAAATCAGAATGTTTTATAAATTTCACTGGGAAAAGGGTCCATTTGAAGTGGAGGACAGAAACACTTTTACTTTTTGGCAAGTCACAAACAAGGCAGAAGGGAACAGTGTGAGATTTGCTCATTCACATTCTTGAATAATCCTTAGATTCAGGAAGGTTGTCCGTGCTTGCAAAACACAAGCTGCATTTGCTAACTGCTCAAAGGCATAAAGGTTTTTACACATACACACACACTTAATAGGCATAAACAAAACAGGTTTCAGCAGGGATAGGGGAACATATCTGACCATAGGCCATACAGGTCTAACAACACCTAGAGCGGGGTGGTGGTGTTTATGGAATCCATCGCTTTTCATTTCTGATGGCTAACTTTTGCATTAGTTGATGCTTAGCAAGTGAGTTGCAGTGGAGACTTTCATCTCTGAAAATGCTTTTCAATTTTAACATGCAGGTGGATGAAAATCACATTGCCGAAGAAATATATGATGATGAGGATGATGAGAACAATGAGAACAATTGGCGAAATGACTACCCAGATGAAGATGAGTTCCTCCCTGGGGAAGATGAAGGTATTTGATGTGATGGGCAAGCCAGTCAGCAGTTTCACTTTAATTGTTAGCGTTAACCATTAATTTTACTCCCATTACTCCCAAACTAGGTGTCAGAAGACTCAAGTGAAACCAACTATGGTTTTACCCTGAGAATGAGTAGCCCACATATAAAAACCTTGATGGGTCTAATATGACCCATCACTTCTCTAATTACTTTGAACTGGGAAGTGGATGACGAGATGATGAGCAATCTGAGACAATAAGCAAATAGAGGAAAATATAGTGCCTGGGGCATTGGCAGAACTGCAAACCTAAGCATCATTGTATCCTGTAAAATCTTTCCCACGTTTTCAAATTATTTTTTCCTCCTAGAATCAGAGCATGGAAGCATCAGTGATGAAGATAATGGATATATCAGGAGAACATGGGAAAAATATCAGTCTGATGTCTTGTTGGAATTCGAGTATGATGGGTTGCAGGAGCTGGATTCCGAGTAGACACTGGAACCTTAGTGCTCAGAAGACATTAATTATGTGTGAATTTGGAAGTTCATGACATACGTCGTGCCGCTTATGTACAGTGGATGCTGCAGTGCTTATGGAAGCCTGAGTGTCACTGGTTGTTCAAGGGTAAACAAGAGACTTTAAATTATGTATCAAAAGTTGAGTAATCTAATTCTTATTCTTGCAGCTGCTGTCTCCATAATATGGTACACTATGTGGGTAGGGCATCTCTGAACTTGATGGATATCAGTTTTTACTATGTTGGAATCTTTGAAGGCTTCTTCTGAAGTTAAGTAAGAAGAAAGTCCTATCTATAAGAAATGTTTTAGCTTTTCAGGTAAAACTGTAAAACTGGAAATGCAGAAAAAATGGAGATAGCAAATATGTATTCTGAACAACTCTTTCAAGGTCTCAATCTCTTGCCATAAATGGAGCTTCTGCCATAGATTGACAGGAGACCATTACTCATTCTGTGAATTGTTGATCTTTGCACTTTAGTATGATTGGATTACCGAGTAGTAAGGCGTTCCTATTGACTTTAATATACAAATAAAAGGCAGCTTTTGTTGAATAGTTTCTTTGACTGATTTTTTCCCCTCTGACATGGCCCTTACCAGTAGGTATTTTTAAGTAGATAGTTTGCTGGTAATCCAGTGAAATGTATTACTGTACTGTTTGGTAAGTTGTCTGAAGTTTGTAGACAACACCGACAGTTTGACACCTTGTCTTGTTTTTCTTTCTAGTAAGGTGAAGATGAGCTGCATTGGGTTTGACTAGGGAGTTCCAGCTACCTTGAGGGAAACAGTATTGCATTCCTTCAGTAGGGTCTGGGTTTTAATAATTATTGTCTGGTGGCAAATATCCCTTTTTAGAGCAAAGGTGCTTGAATGGGTGACGGCAGTCCATATTCAGGTATGTTTTGTGAGAACAGGTTACAGTCATACCTTGGGTTGAAGTTGAGTGCTTTCGGGTTGCGCTTTGCAGCGACCTAGAAGTAACGGAACACGTGACTTCCGGGTTTCGCCACTCATGCATGCGCAGATGGTCAAAATGACGTCACATGCATGTGCGAAAGTGGCGACATGCACAGACACACAGCCGCAGGTTGCGTTTGCTTCAGGATGCGAACGGGGCTCCGGAACGGATCCCGTTCACATCCTGAGGTATCACTGTATCTGGATCCATTTCCATCTAGCTCCAGAACCTAACATGACATTGTTGACAAGTCATCAAGAGTTTTGGAGTCACAATATGTGGTAACACCCAGCTCTATCTCTCTTCCATCTGATTCAGAAGAGGCAGATGCTTGACCCAGGGCTTAGAGGTGGTGGTAGGCTGGTTGCAGGACAATAAACTGAAGTTGAATCCTTAAAAAACAACAGGGTCATTATGTTCTGAGTTATTGAGGTGAGAAGATGGCTTATTCTAAATGAGTTTACAGGCCTCTGGAAGGAGCTAGTCCACTGCTCTGTTGTTCAACAGGGATTTAAATGTTGGTCTTGCTTCAAGTCCTACCACATTTTCATTGTGATGCAGGTGAAGATGGGCCCTAGAGGTCTTGAGTTTTCACACATACCTCCTTTGCTGGGTTGGATAAAAAAATAGTACCAATTTACTGTGCTTTCAGTGCTTTTTCTAATAATTCCTAGACAGTGAAGGGTTTTTTCCCCTGTTGCGGCAAGCAACAGAAAATTTAGTAATACCATGTTTTCTCACCACTCAAATACCAGTACAAGAGGACCAGTGCACTACAATAGGTGTTGCTGAGCTTCTGTATAAAGCTTATCTTGTAGGCTTGCTATGAGAATAAAATGGGATGATTGTGTATGTTGCCATGATACCAATATAAACATGAACAACAACAGAACTCATCCAAGTTTCTGTTACACATGGAGATCTGTATCTGGATGTATGTAACTACTGTATCTGTAGCCAACTGGATCAGGCTCCTAATTAACTGCAGTTCGAGTTGCTATCATGTAGTAAAAAAGGTACAAAGAAGCATTTAAAAAAAAATCTGTTGGAGTTCCTTTTTTCAGAAAGGCTTGAGCATGGAGCTCTCTGTGTGCTGCTTTTCTACAATTAAACTTTGGATGGGGGGGGGGGGTACAAAGCAAAATTCAAGTAACACTTAAACATTTCAACCAAACATGGGGTAAATTCAGTATTAGAAATAAACAAACAAGGACGGAGCAAAACCAGCTTTACCAGACTAAATAATAAATAAAACCAACCTACACAGAACGCTAGCCGTAGTGCACTGCAAAGGCCCACAGCAGCATGTCTTAAAAATAATGAGTGGGGGGTGGGGGTTATGCCTCCAGATGGTTGGTAGGTGGCTGGAGATGAAAATAACGGAACATCCTCTTCCTCAGCTTCCTCATTTCCACATTAAGTGGAAATACTTGCATGACACTCAAGATACAGTCTAAATATCCCTGCACGGTTATGCTTCCAAGTTCTGCTGCTGCCCTTCTTGTAACCAAAACCAAAAGCATAGGCAACACTGCTGCAGCAGCACTGACATTCTTCCTGTCCCATATCACTTTTCTTATATGTATGCATTCAAAGTAGTATGGTTAAGTGTACATGTTTTCTTCACAAACAAAAAGGAGCAGGCGTATCAGAGTCTCACCGTTTTATTCCCACATAGTGGAAGTTTCATCCTCCCACAAAGTTCCAGCACACATTAACATCATATAAAAGCAGCTGTTGTTATTAACAATCAGTTGGACAAATCAGGAGCTATCCTTTGCAGTCTTTTTAACAGTATGTTGGGAGTGTAATAACCTAGAGAAAACTTTACAAAGGAATGCCAAATTTACACACGGGAATAAAATAAAAGTATGTGCTTTTAAGGATTATGTTTTTACAATTTCAAATAGGTCACTGTTTATTGAAAATAAAAGTAAATGCTTTATTCCAGTTTCAAACCTACTAAAGAAGCATTAGGATAGATGGGTTGTTCCAATTTTGGGTTTACTGTCCATTTTGAATCATTATGTTAAATCTAAAGAATGAACTTCTTCATAGCACTTCTCACATTTTCTGCAGGTAAAAAAATAAACACCAAAGGAATATCTGGATAAATGGACCAGATTATAAATCCAGCTGTGACACTAAACCATTAAAATCTGCAGTGCAGGAAAGCCCCACTTTTTTCACAATCACATGCCTATTAATGCAGGTTCAAGTCCTTTAGTCACAAATAAGACATCTGAATTGAGAGATTTCAGTATTTTTCCTCAAGCTGCAGCAATATAGTTGCCCTCTTATAGGGCTGTGCACTACAGTATTCAAACTAATATTTAGACAACGATGTCAAGTTCTGGGATTTTTATTATTTAACAAATGCAGATAGGGTTTTGTTCAACTAGCCATGTAGAAGTAACCAGAAACTGTGTAACAAAGGACTTCTAAACAAAACCCTTTGGTTTTTGCCTCAGCAATTGCATATATTTCTATTATTTAACACTAGGAAACCCCTGTAAGTATGGCAGTTTGCAGGCAGAGATGGGTGAGCAGTGGGTGGGTTGGAGGGGGTGGACAATACAGACATCCTCTTTATCCTTTGTAGGATACTTGCCTTCAGGAGCAGGACAGGTTAGCAAGGTTGCATGGAAGGCCCTCTGCAACTCTCCCATAGCCAACCCCAGACATGTGATGTGCCTTCCCGCAATTATCCCAGCCAGCCAGTCTCAGTTCTTGCTGGAAGTTAAGACTGCTAGTGGCACACACACTCCACTGATACACTGAGAAGATAACATTGGGAATGAGAGATAAAGCAGCTGCTTCTGCAACTACACTACAAGCTGAGCAACTGGGCACACTGGCCCAGGAAGCTATTGGTGAGAAGTTTTGATGTGGTTCCTGCTGCTACTAAACATGTGGGTCACAAGGAGAGAGGTGATACCCACCACCACTGTTGCTGGGAAGACTGGCCCAGGTAGCTGCCACTGGAGGGTGTGGAGTTCAGTGTGGTCTCTGCCACCACTAAACTTAGCAACCAGACTCCGACATCATAAGGTGAGAGAAGAGGCGATTGCAACAGTTGCTGTGCACAGTTTGGTGAGAATGCTGCTGCTGAAGGAGTTCCTTGTTTCAGTTCCTGCCATGTCCAAACTGAGCAGCTGGCCCCAAGCAGCATGAGAGGACAAGGAGGTGGTAGCAGCAGCAGCAGCAGCAGCAGCTGCTTGTAATGGCTGTTGTTCCAAATGCTACCATCTGCTGGATTACTCCCAAAGAAAAGGAAAGGTCATATCATTAATGAACCTGTTCTCCAGCTTAAAACACCAACAGGTAAAAAAGATGAACAGTGCAATGATATGAGTATTTACTCATCGGTCCTACTATGTTCAATGAAGCATATGTCCAGATACGAGTGCATAGAATTTCAGCTTCATAGCAGAGTGTCTACTCATAAGTAAGCCTCATTAGACTTACATTCGGGTAAGTGGGTATTGCATCCTTAGTTTTATCTCAAAGCATTCCCAGCTGAACTGACCTCCCCAAGCATGTAAGCCACTCATGCAAACAAATTCAGTATTGAACAGCATTAAGTCTAAAAACATAAATTCCATAAAGGGTGGGGGATCAAACTAATTGAGAGGCTTGCTTCTCTATTTTGTCATTTAGTGAGTTCTAATACAAAGCTCCTTGATTTTTTTTGGTACAGCAAAGTTCAGTGAAACATTCTTACATAGAAAGGCAAGAATAACTGTAGATCATCCAGCTTCTTTGAGAATCAGTTTACCAAATTATCAGACTAAAGGATATTGACAAACTGGAACATGTGCACAGGAGGGCAACCAAGATGGCAAAGGGTCTGGAAACCAAGCCTTATGAGGCCAGTTTGGTACGTTTGGCCTGGATAAGGGGAGATTCAGAGGAGATATGATTGCCATCTTCAATTACATGTTATTCATGGATGATGGAGCAAGCTTGTATTATCTTGTGTGGGTTCTAATCTGAATTGTCCAAAACAAAAACTTACCAGCTTTTCCTAAAGCTTAAAAGTTTTACTTTGTTTAATAATAAAAAGCTAAACTTTAATGTGAAGGAGAGAACAGCAGCTTCAGGGCATTAACTGCCACCCAGTGTGCTATAGGTGAAGGAACCAGTCCCTGGATCTTTAGTGACAAATTCAACTCCTCTTATGCAATAGTTTGTCATTAACGTCGATCTACAAAGGACTACTTCACACAAAACAGCTGAACTGTTGATAAGTTGGGAGAATTATTGGTGCCTGTCAAACTCCAGCCATTTGGAATTTGTATCAAGCCTGTTGCTGGGCTGCCTATTTCTGAGCTCTAGAATACAACACTCAATTTCACTATTAAAGAAAAGTTTAGAATCTGTAGATATAAATCATAGTAAGTTCTATGCCTGAGAAGATTGGCTTTTCAATCACAGTTTATAAAAAAAATAACAAACACTAGATCATGACACAGTATGATCTGGCAAGTATCCAAGTTTAGTAAGAATTCCAGATTCCAGTGAAGTTTTCTGTCAATTCATCATTTCTTGAGCATCTTGTTTTACCTTTTTAGCCACTTTTGCATCTTTATATAGATTTGTTTCTAGTTTTTCTTCTAAAGTATCCATTTCTGTCAGAACACAGTAGCAAAGTAGCTGAGTGGCTCGAGTGACAGCACCTGCCCAAGAGGTAAAATAAACAATTAACCAGGTAACTACCTACACAGCAACAGTTAGAATCACTAGCTTACTGAAATGAGACTGGCAGCTGCATCAGTGGTAAATACATTCTTAGAATGAGGTCTTAGTACTACAAAACAATATTTGTTATATATAAACATAAAAAATACACAACCATTTTCTCTTTTCTTTTAATGACTATCACCCACTTAAAAGTTTTCTGAAATTACAACTTATGTGATCCTTCTATTAATCATTCATTAAAAGAAACAACCCCCCCCCCAAGAAAAATACCTTACCTAAAATCTTGCTGACAAAGGGTGGTCTTTTGGAAACAGGTAAGGAGACTCCCACGAAGTATACTGGAATCCCTGAGAGTGCAATGCCAATGCCAATCAGGGAATTAATGGTGTCACTATAGAGAGGCACCACTACCAGAAATACTGAGCATATGCAGAAGACTATTGGGAAAAACAGGCTCAACTGTAAGAGAGGAAATGAACTAGAATCAAGAACAGCCAAGTCACACTTCAATTTGTACTTTTTTCATTATCTTCTAGCGTAAGATTCTCATCAGAAACCACCTTATGCCAATCTGGAACCACTTTCTGCCTATGTAACAAATGGCACAATGCAAGGCTACTCATCTCGGCGCATTGGTGTAATGTCTCTGAACGTATTAACTACAGAATTTGAGCTGTTATCATTCTCACCTTGAGTGGCCTGTGCCGATCTGGTTGCTTCCAACGGAGGTAGAGTTGCCCAGCAATTGATAGTCCTACAAAGAACCAATAGCTGAAGCTGAAGTAGTTAATAAGCTGGAATACATCTTCTACAGTCAAGTATATGAGAGTCATGGTACACTGTTAGGAAAAAGGAGATGAATACCATTAAAACCTCAAGAGAGACATTTTTTTAAAAAAATTCTCTGTCATTAGCAGCACTTGCTCATTTTTTTGGTAGTATCACCATAACACAGCATCCTCAAACCTGTAGCCCTCCAGATGTTTTGGACTCCAACTCCCATCAGTCACAGCCAGCACATTCTTAGAATGTGCTGCATGGGCACAGTTCAGAACAATAAAGGCATGCAGAAAGGTATCCTAAGTGGCTACTTCACAATGATACAACATCTACCCCCTGGCAGCTCCAAGCTTAACCCCCACCCCCCCACCCCCGATGGCATGCCCCATTTATTAATGAAATGCTTATTGGTAATTTTAAAGTACAGCTGTTATGATCACTGTATATTGTGAGCAGTCTTGAACACAATTTCCTTTGTGGAAAGGCAGCACATAAATTAAATCGTAATCTAATTTGGGCTGAGATTCAATATCCAGAGGTTAAGCAGGGAATATGTTGTTTCAATTTACAATTCTAACTTATAGGGACAGGGTGAGTTACAAAATGAAGAAATTTAATAAGTTCTATTAGCTCTATCCACCGTCCACACTGAGGGAGCATCAGAGTTTCTACATTTCATCAGGTATATACAAGGTGAAACATCTGTAACTAAAAAGTCTATCTAGTTACTCCATTATAGGGGTATAAAAAGCCACAGTAGTTAACTTACGTTGAAGAGAAGCGCTGGGACTGGTGTAAATCTTCCTATGTGGATCATTGACAAAAGGTCAGGCAAATGACCCTCCCGGGATCCAACAAAGAACAGCCTACCAATAATAATGATGAGGATGATGTCAGATTAGACAGTTATATCTAATATTAAGTAAATAGCAGCAGCTAATACATCAACCTGTGATTTATTTTATCCAAGCCAATGCTCAACTAGTCTGATCTGAAGCATTAGCCAAGACAGTCTAGGACTGCAACCGTTATGAAAGATTTCATGCATCACAGAATCTAGACATCATTTGCTTCCCTTTTATACAAATGTATTTGCTTGGTTGAATGAGCAGCAACATTCATGCAGATGGTGCTTATTTTCAGATTGGAAACAAAAGGAAACTGGGTTTGGTCTCGACAAGTATCTGTTCCCTCCTACCCACCCTGAAAATGGTTCCAATTTTGTTTTCTGCAGCCTCTTCAATCCTCCCAACTCATAGCTGCATTTTCCTCCTTTGTCCTTTTCTAAACTTCTGTGCAAGATTCAAGCAGATTCTTTTGAAAGGTCATAGCTCAGAAGGAGAGCACCTGCTTTGCATGCAGACAATCCTACATTCCACTCCCAACATCTCCAAATAGGACTGGGAAAATACTCCTATCTGAAACCCTGGAGAGCTGCTGTTAGTCAGTATAAGACAAGACTGAGCTAGATGGACCTGAGGTCTAACTCTGTGTACAGCTGCTTCCTTTCCTGAAACTGCACCCTTAATAGAATCTGTTATAACTGACTACAGGCATGTTTATCTGTGTAGAAGGATGAATTTAAGAACAATAGTCGAAAAGGTATGTAAGGAAAGAGTAGCTTTGTGACAGTTTATGCCAGGGGTAGGCAACCTAAGGCCGGGGGCCAGATGCGGCCCAGTCGCCTTCTCAATCTGGCCTGCAGACGGTCCAGGAATCAGAGTGTCTTTACATGAGTAGAATGTGTCCTTTTATTTAAAATGCATCTCTGGATTATTTGTGGGGCCTGCCTGGTGTTTTTACATGAGTAGAATGTGTGCTTTTGTTTAAAATGCATCTCTGGGTTATTTGTGGGGCATAGGAATTTGTTCATATTTTTTTTTCCAAAATACAGTCTGGCCCACCACATGGTCGGAGGGACAGTGGACCTGCCCATGGCTGAAAAAAGGTTGCTGACCCCTGGTTTATGCTCTTAAAACTGCAGAAGTGAAGTTTTGTATCCCAGCTAGTTTGCTACAGAGTATTTTGTTACAGCTAGTTACAACTACAGTGGTGCCTTGCAAGACGAAAATAATCCGTTCCGCGAGTCCCTTCGTCTAGCGGTTTTTTCATCTTGCGAAGCAACCCTATTAGCGGCTTAGCGGATTAGCGCTATTAGCGGTTTAGCGGCTATTAAAGGCTTAGCGGCTAAAAGGCTATTAGCGGCTTAGCGGCTTAGAAAAAGGGGGGGAAAGCGGGGGGGAATTGCAAGACTCGCAAGACGTTTTCGTCTTGCGAAGCGAGCCCATAGGGAAAATCGTCTTGCGAAGCAACTCAAAAACGGAAAACCCTTTCGTCTAGCGGGTTTTTCGTCTTGCGAGGCATTCGTCTTGCGGGGCACCACTGTAGTTAGTTTTGTTACAGCTAGTTACAAAGTACATCTGTTGATTTAAAGGGGGGACACACACCAAAAAACAACAACCCTGAAGACAAACACTGAAACCAGGAATATAAAGATCATGAGCATCTTCAGAAAGCCTGTACAATTTATACCAAGCATACAATGGTAACTCCCCCACCCACCCACCCACCCCTCTCTTTGGGGTAGGTATAGCCTTACAGATTACTAAAATTAGACGCTTTACCTAGATGATGCCAAAATAGATGCATTGAGTCCACCAAAGCAGGACAAGGCAACAGCAATCGGGATTGTCCAACTGAACATGCCAAATACTTGCTCAGCAAATGTCTAATGTAAGAGGGAAGGGAGAAAAATTAGAACATGTTGAACCTCCACACACAGAGAGATTTCTTTGTAAAATATATGGTCAAAAAAGTACCCAGTCTGTACAACAGAGTAAACAACCCATCAGCAGATGTGGAAAATGTGTCCTGCTCTGAAGTTCAAGTCCTGTTAGATTGAATTTCAGAAATAAATTCAATTTGAATTTACTGTTTTAGAAAGTCCAAGGTACAGCGAATTGTGGGCAATCTTGAACAAATTAGATTGCTAAATGATTCTGCTTCTTTGCCCTGCCTAGGGCCCTAGGCAAATATGCTGCATCACAAATTATAAAAAAGCAATAAAACAGTCTGACTCCTGAGTAGCTCCAAATTAAATTGTTTAAGGAAAGGGTGGCTTTTAGCATAAGGAGACAGAAATATACTTGTTTGAAAGCTTTACCAAGAAATACATCCCAAATAATTTATGGTTGCTGCTCTTATAATGACCTACAATTCATTGATGACCTTCCTTATTTTTACCGCAACTCTGCATTTTTCACTGCTTTTCCTCAGCACCACCCAAGTCATGCCTCCATAATTAAATATTTCCTCTTCCTCTATCATCCAGTGAAAATACCTTCTACTGTAATCTCACTACTATTGTGGCATTTCTGCTCCACATTTGAGGAATGATGTCCCATTCTTTTTCTCCAAAAAGAGAATGCAGAATAGCAGGCAATAGCAGTGCTGCATGGGAAATAGGATGGCTAATATACAGGGTTGTAGGTATATACTGGTTCCCTGTGAACCATGGTTTGGAAACTGAAATTGGAGGCCAGCCTTTGGAATATACACTACTTCCACATTCCTCATTTTCTGGAGCAATTTCCTTCATCTCTTCCATTCCCAGTGTTAGCCATGGATTTTGTGTTACACACTCACTGATGCAATTTGTGTGTTTAGTAGGATCCATCACAAATTGAAGATGCGTGTTTTGAAGCAAATTTTGAAAGGGGAGATGGGCGAGGAATGTGTACCTAAACCATGATTTGCAGGCAGTCACCAGTACCTCTGCACTTAATCCACTATGGAGAGAGATTAGACTGGGTCATACCAATGGCCAAATCTCAGACTTGAGCATTCCAGTTCTGGTTTCAGATGTGAAGCACAAACCCAAATTCACCAATTTGTATGCCACAGTGGCATATTCAACAAGGAAATCAGGGCTAAAATTGGCACATCTGATGGCAAGGATGAAAATAAAATATGCAAGCCTATAGATTGCCAAACCATAGTCCAGCCTTCTAGTAGCTTGAGCATAGGACTTCAAAAGGAAACCATGCCTCAAATTTCAGCTAGCTGCAGAAATAAAGGCATGCCTGTGCCTTCATTTTGCATATGTAAAATGGGGTGGAAGAAGCCTTCTGTCATATTCTCTAGCTCCTCATCAGTGTCTAGATGAAACTCGTTCCTGTGTCTTGTTGGTATTCAATAGAGTAAACTCAATTAAATTAATGAAGCTAAGGTAAAGGTAAAGGTACCCCTGACCGTTAGGTCCAATCGTGGACGACTCTGGGGTTGCGGCGCTCATCTCGCTCTATAGGCCAAGGAAGCCGGCGTTTGTCCGCAGCTTCCAGATTATGCGGCCAGCATGACTAAACCGCTTCTGGTGAACCAGAGCAGCTCACGGAAATGCTGTTTACCTTCCCACCAGAGCGGTACCTATTTATCTCTTTGCACTTTGACATGCTTTCGAACTGCTAGGTTGGCAGGAGCTGGGACCAAACGACGGGAGCTTACCCCGTCGCGGGGATTCAAACTGCCAGCCTTCGGATCAGCAAGCCCTAGGCTCTGTGGTTTAGACCACAGCGCCACTAAGGTAGTCATGTCCATTAACTTCAATGGGTCTACTCTGAATAGGACTAGCCTTAGATAAAACCCCATATACTGTAGATATTAGGTATTTAATTTGGTTAGTACTTTAGGCACATTTCAGTATTTAAAGGATTCAGTATTTAAAGGATTGCAGTAGATTAATGGGGGAATCTGCCAGGTTTAATTCCAAATAACTTTAAAAAAAAACCCTGTTCACTCTGTGAAGCTGGTTTTGTCTTTCTGCAAAATATTCTGAAAAGAAATCATCACAAAGAAAACACCACAATTTATAAACCGGATTAACTATAATCTGGGTGATTCAAATAAGCCTAATGAGTAACAGTAGTAGTAAAGAGAGAGACTGTGAATGTCATTAGGAGCTCCTAATAATATTCAATCAGTTTCATTTAAATAGTACAGTGGTACCTCGGGATAAGAATTAAATTTGTTCTGGAGGTCCGTTCTTAACCTGAAACTGTTCTTAACCTGAGGTACCACTTCAGCTAATGGGGCCTGACACTTCCGCTGTGCCGCCGCCGCACAAATTCTGTTCTCACCCTGAAGCAAAGTTCTTAACCCGAGGTACTATTTCTGGGTTAGCAGAGTCTGTAACCTGAAACGTCTGTAACCCGAGGTACCACTGTACATTTCATGAATGTGTAAGATGTTCTATATAACAATGTAAATGTATGTGAATATAACAATGAAACTGACTTTTTGAATATTAAAGGCTTTGATAAGTACTGTGTCCCTAATTCCAGTTTCATACTTGCACAGTTGGACAAGTTCTGGAGCGCAACTTCTCAAGAACTGCAGTCCGAAAGTACTAAATGGATTAATAATGAAATCTGATTACTTAAAGCTCCAATAACCCTTCTAACTAAAAAGATTAAAATCACAAATAGGCAACATACACCAATGAATTTCACCTTGGCCAAATTACAAGAAGCTTCTGGCTGTGTATTTGAACCTGGAAATTTTACATTTGGGATGCTATGCTAGATTAGTCTAAAGAGAATGATCAAAACACCAAAAATTTAAAAAGCTTGTTCTAAGACACAACAACTTAACTACTCAGCTTAACTCCCCCTTAAAAAAACAGTTTTGTTTGGTAAAGTGTGCTGACCTAAAAAGGCTTAGATCCCTCATATGTCATTAAAAAGTTGTAAATATCCTATATAGGATTCTGTAGTAATTGGAGTGACCTTTAACACAACTGAGTTCTTGGAAAAGAAAGCAGAGAAGCAACCTATCAGCCCCATAGTGATGGCTAAAAATGTTAGGCATTTAAATACCTACATAAGTAAATAGATAAGAAATCAGATAGTCGGTCAGATGTCAAAAGATCAACAGTGGAATGAATATAAAATAAAAATATATTTCAAATACCTTTTGTGCATTAGTTGCAAAACATCTCATGCAATTCAAAGAATAAACTGTATAAGAAGACTGGGGGTGGGGGAGCAAGCAGGATGTTGTCAGTAGGTTTCCCCAATTTCACCCTATGATTACCCAAACTGCAAACCAGTAGTATTCTTAGCAACAGGATCTGTCATTCATTGTCAGAGTGGAAGATAGTGGGTTAGAGCAATGCATGCCCCCCCCCCCCGACTTCTTCCAACCTGGCTTGGGTCTCTTGCCTGAAGCAAGAGCCCAAGAACACACTCTGTTACAGTGTTGATGCAGACTCTCTCCAGAACATTTTTACTTTCTACATGTCCAACCCACATGCATGCTACTTCCAGTCTTGCCAAAAGTGACAGCATTTCTGCAGAGTCTCTTCTATTATAAATAAGACAACATTTTCCATGAATTGCTACACTGGTCTGAGTCCTTGCAAGTGACCAATTTCCCCAATTTCTAACAGCCCTAAAGGGTTGAATTCAGACTAAATTAGTTGGTCTAAGTTCCCATTGAAACAAATGGTGACTGCAAGTCATGACTTAATTTTAGTTACTATTGAAATTGGGAGAAAGTTGCTTAATCTGAATCCGATCTGATAAATTTAGCATTACTATTTTTGCACAAATTATATTTCAGTCAACCAACTGAAAACAATTCTTGGGGAAGGTTCATTTTCACATATATATAAGCCTCCAAACTGCATACTTCAAGGTTGTTTGTTTCATTCTGGATGACTCTCGCCAATTCACTTGGATGTATACACACAAGTTTGGAGAAATCAAAAGGTAGTCTAGCCATAAACAGTGCCCAGAAGTTCTAGATCATATAGAAACTGGGTCATCTGAATCATAAAAAGGCTGCACAGCTCAAGATGCAACTTAGTCAAAGATAAGTGCATAAACACACATAACAATAGCAATATCAGACTTACCACGGCCACTGCATCACTAGAAAGCACAGCATTAATATCCAGCACTGTATAATATGCTATATTGGTCAATATGTAGATAATTGTCACAATTGGCATAGAAACAGCAATAGCTAGAGGCAGGTTCCTGGTTAAATGAAACAAAATAAAACAAAAACACACAACTTAGAAGTAGCTGTTACTCTTTTCATCCTGACTAATACCTACTGGGATATCACAAGGGATGCGGGTGGTGCTGTGGTCTAAACCACTAAGTCTTTTGGGTTTGCTGATTGGAAGGTCAGCAGTTCAAATCTGCACAACAAGGTGAGCTCCCATTCTGCCCCAGCTTCTGCCAACCTAGCAGTTTGAAAGCTTACCAATGCAAGTAAATAAATAGGCACTGCAGCCATGCACTCTGACTTCCATCACGGTGATCCGTTGCACCAGAAGTGGTTTAATCATGCTGTCCACTTGACCCAGAAAGCTGTCTGTGGACAAACACCAGCTCCATTGGCCTGAAGCGAGATGAGCGTCACACCCCATAGCTGCCTTTGACTGGACTTAACTGTCCAGTGATCCTTTACCTTTATTTACCTTACGGGGATATCAGGTATTTACAATCATGTTTGGACTGATAAAAGCTTCATATGAGAACTAGGAGTTCTATTAAAAACAAGCTAAAGAAAATGCCTTATTTTCATTACTTTTGTGGCCTACTTCTCACAGAGGTGTTTGGGCTGTACCACTTCACACTGCAGGGAGAGGTTTACGTGACTGTTCCTCCATGCTGAAAACGGTGCTATACATAGAAAAAGGCAAGGCTACAACACTCTTCCCTGGCACCATCTTTTCAGTGCACAAAGATTCTTCTTTTTGCATGGAGCTGTCATTCAGTTATATGAGCCCCCATTTAAAAGTCCAAAGTGTTGCATCGATGAGAACTAGGCCTAAGACAAGGCAGAAGGGAATCAAACCCACCTTAATCAATGGTTGAAGATGGAGATCAAGGGCCATTGTGGGGTGCAGGAGGGAAGGGGCCTGCTCTAAATCATTCTGGGCAGGTGTGAAACCCAGGAGACCCCAGAGGGCAACCCTCGCAATTCCCCCCCCCCCAGGGATAGGAAGAGACCAGCAGGGCATCCTATTTTCCAAGAGGCTGCTGTAGAGGTGGCACCAGGACTGCTGCCCCTATGGATCCTGCCACCTGAGGTGGTCACCTCACCTAGTCTCATGGGTGGGCCAGCCCTGACTATGTCCAGCTTTGTCAATCCTGCAAATCGGAAACAATGTGCAGTTTGATACAGCCAGTCAAGCTTTTCTTAATGTCTCTCAGGCTTCAAAATTCTGTTCGTTACTCTTTGTAGTGTCAAGGTTCAGAATTGTTTATGTCCATGTAAAATATTTCTTCAGCTAGAGATAAAGTTCTCTCACACTTCAAGATGAATTTTTAATTACATTGACTCTTAGGAGATACTTTAAACAAACTGAAAAAGGTGAAATAGCTTTAAGAAACATTTACCTTTCTGGATGTTTTATTTCTTCAGTTACAAAATTGAGGGTGTCCCAACCTGAGTATGAGAACAAGGCAGAGTAAAGTGCAAGAGAAATACCCCCAAGATTCCAAGATGATCCCTCAAAAGAGTCCTGAAAGTGGTCCGAGTATCCTGTGTGTAAAGGGAAAGCAGAGGAATAAGAACAGTGTTGGAAACCATACCAGATGGCACTGTTAATACACTTTAGTGGAAAATAAAGGCAAGAAGAATGAGAAAGTCTCAAACTCTCTGAAGACAGCAAAGTGAGATCTACCACCCTCTCTCACACACGTGGCATAACTAGATGGGAGAGAATAAGATTTTAAAATGCTGCCTTGCATTTAAATAAATGGGGGGGGGCCCTACTAGCAGGCAGAAAACTAGCATAGCAAGCTGCGGGCTGGGCTAGACTGTCTCCTGACAAGTTATTAATTTAATTGAAAAGAATTTTTACTTTTTTATTTACGTGAAGGAACATTCAAGGAATTGTATTCCTAGCCTACAGTGACAATCAAACACCTCATTCTACTGCATGGATACACCAGGCTGCATATCATTTCCCTGTTGCTTGCCTTTAGAGCAAATAAGGGCATTTCAGTTAGTAAAAACATTGCTTTATTGTTAAAGAGGTGTAGTTATAGGTATATCAGTACTCAAATCTGAATTGTTAAATTGTGTTATTACTGTTATTGTGGTTTTTGTTGTATGTGTTTTTTGTGGTTGTTGTTTGTATTGAAAAAATGATTAAATAATTTTTTTTTAAAAAAGAAGCACGCAATTTAAAATTTTATAAAAAAACAAACAAAAAACCACATTGCTTTATTTCTGAGGAACTCTAGTTCAATACATACCCAATTTACATGCATCATCAGAGACAGACTTGGCTCACAGCAGTTCAAACCACAGTTAATTAAACTGACTGCAGGCAGCCTTGGCATTACAACTTCACCTCTTGCCAAAGTACTTTTATATACAAGGTATCTAGAGTCTAGATATTTTATGTACAAAAATGCATCCAAAATGTGTTTCTCCATCACAGATTGGTTCTCAGGTTCAAATATTATCTGAACTACTAATATTTGGTTTGGTCAGGAAACAAACTATGATCCCAGTTCAGGTATAACACTAAGCAAAGGCTCAGCATGTTGCTCCCACTTTGCTTGGGAAGAAATGAAGTGCGAACCAACTACAGGTTCACAGAAAAATATTAACCATGGTTAATTGACATTGACGCTGACATTTGAATGAGAGCAGTGCCACAGTCTGATGGCTACCCGTAAGTCTTGACCTAACAACTGTTAACCCACATCACTGAAATATTTTAGCCCATATCACTCAAAAGTTTTAAGACAACCAAAATTACAAACATACAGATGATTAATAGAGGTACTTAAAGAAGGTCTAATACTAGACTACAGCAGCTTTCCATTTACAAAAGCTAATTAATATTGTCCAATTTGGCATGCTTTCCAAGTATGTTTTTAAGCTGGATAAAAGCAATTTCACAAAAGCAGCTTTTAAAATTAATTGGTTTTATTTGGCAAACACTGCAAAAGCAGCTTTTAAAAACATTACAGTGTCTCATTTAGAAATCTGTTCAATATTTAAGAATATCACAGCATATCTGTTTATTCTCACCATATTCACCACTTTATTTCCTTATAAAGCATTGGGAAGATGGAATAGCAGCCAAGTTAGAACAGTGATGGATAAAGGGTTACATTAAAAGCAAAAATCATACCGCCAGAAGAGCACATTGTGTAACATTAATGTATTATTCTGCACAGGCCCAACGGATAAGGAAAGAACATGGCATATAGTCCTTCTAAAATACAGATGTAGTTTGGCATAGTAGAAATGCAGACTTCCTATTTTCTCAAGTCAGCATAAAGAATGCTTCCAAAATAAACAGGAAACAAAGCTTGTTTTAAAAAATCAATAATAAAGGTGAAAACCCTGATAAACCTACAATAGCTAGGATACCATAGCTCATGGGAAAAATATTTCAGCAAGCTCAGTTGTGTAAAGTTGAACAATAGGCAATAGGAAAAACATGGCTTAGGAGGAAAGTGCTATGTGGTCTTTGCTTTTAGGTGCACTCTTGTCAGCAATCTGCACATAAAGGTCATATAGGCTGCTTGTAAATGCCCGTAATATGACTGGCTCTGGGATCAACCTGGTGTTAAAGTAACAGAAGTATTACACTTAAAGGTGCATAGGGTAGCTCGGGGCCAAACTCAACATGATGTTAGCTGTATCAAAGCAATTCTCGTCCTATAAACTGCTTTGAGGTTCTATTACAATCAAGTGATATATAAACTTTGTTAAATAAATTAATGTGCAAACATTTTTCTAATGTAAATAGCTGCTGCTTGAGAAGCCTGGATAGGGCAGAGACTACAGTGGGAGGTTTAATAATTCCCTCTCCCTGTGTTAACAGCACTCTCTCTCATTCTCATTCTCTCTCTCTCTCTCTCTCTCTCTCTCTCTGTGTGTGTGTGTGTGTGTGTGAGAGAGAGAGAGAGAGAGAGAGAGAGAGAGAGAGAGAGAGACTTCATCAGAATCATGGGATGGGGGGGGTTAACACCTATCCACCACTATTTTCCATTCTATTCAGTCACACCCTGACAGCCAATTGCCATTGGAAGGGCAGGGGAGCCCAGTTTTCTTTCGTCTAAAAACTTACTTTAATAAAAACAAAAACAACACAGAAAAGACACACTTATAAGACACTGACCAAACTCTTCTATTTAGAAAGTGTTTAACCTCATTGAACAAAGGAACTGCTTTGCAACCCCTGCCTGCAAAAAAACACAAAGGGAGTCTGAGCTGCATGTACAATGTCTACAGTACACATTAACAACTTTCTTTGGATAGCAACTGTTATTTGGGTGAGGAGACAGAGCCAATTTGGAGTTGGAAATTAAGGGGTTTAAGCCCACGCACACCATCAGCCACCACCACCACAATAATGATAATAATAATGGTGGTGGTGGTGGTGGTGATTGATGTCTGTTTTAAATTAATTACGCATACATAAACCTGAGGTACTCATTAGATCATGTAGACCACTTGGTTAGATTCAACTAACCAAGGCACTTACATTTTGGTAAGGCAGTAGCAAGGCATATTCAACATAAAAGGTAAAGGTACCCCTGACCGTTAGGTCCAGTTATGGATGACTCTGGGGTTGCGGCGCTCATCTCACTTTACTGGCTGAGGAAGCCGCTGTACAGCTTCCGGGTCATTTGGCCAGCATGACTAAGCCGCTTCTGGCGAACCAAAGCAGCACACAGAAACACCGTTTACCTTCCCGCAGGAGCAGTACCTATTTATCTACTTGCACTTCGTGCTTTCGAACTGCTAGGTTGGCAGGAGCAGGAACAGAGCAATGGGAGCTCACTCCGTCGTGGGGATTCAAACCGCCGACCTTCTGATCGGCAAGCCCTAGGCTCTGTGGTTTAACCCACAGCGCCACCCTTCATATTCAACATAGCCAGTCACTAAAACTGCAACCCAGCAACTCCCCATACCCCATAACAAGAAGGTATCCTTTTTTTCTCAGCAGTGGCATTCTTGTAATATATAATCCCTTAAGGAAAAACCTAAATCTAGTTCATGTGCTTTGGGATAATAAGCAGCCATAGCATGGTGTCAGCCCTCTAACACCATCCTTTTGTACTCTCCTATAATATGAAACAAAACTGTCCATTCTATGGATCAGTTAGCATCCACAAAACTGCACAACCAATTCCATATCCCCAAGAGTGCATTCAACTTCTACTTCTAAAACAGCAATATCTCAATGTGAGAAATATCTACAAAGGCCTGGTAAAGACACTACTGCTGTGCCCCAGGGGAGGCTGGTCCATTAGGACAAATGGGGTACTACCCTCTGCAACCTCAGTCTGCCATCAGCCAGCCTCCACCTGCCTGTTTTTATTCTTCTTCTTACAACCAGTCCAGGGGGTGGCACTGCCTGCCAACTTCCTCTGCCTTAGTTTCAAGTGTTGCCTTTGTGGAACTCAGCAGGTAGGAGGATGGGAACAAAAGTAGAATTAGTTGGCTCCACCTGTCACTGGCTTTGGCTCCGCCTATTGCTAGTCCTGCTGCCTTCTGCATTACCAGTCCCAACAGGCACCACTTCTGTGTCTTAAAACACTCACTTCACTAGAAAACAGGTTCTAGTTACTCTGAATGTGTCAAAGAGGCTATTCTTCTACAACAGTGAAGGCTAAAAACAATTTTTCAAAAAATACACTGAAAATTTTAGTTTTTAGAGAAACCTGCAGACACTTTGAAATGTACATAGAGTATTGTTAAGGGTAAAAATAAATGGCCTGAAGTGCCTAAAATGCCCTAGGGGACATGGTCTAAAGAAACTTAATGCAGCCATCTGTCAAAGCCAATAAATTTGGGTCTAGTCAGTGCCTGGATGGTAAGCCACCTGGGAAGCTGATGTGCACCACCATGAGTTCTGTGATGGAACATCGGAAACTGCTTTATACCAAAGCAGACTATTGCATCAATCCATCTCAGTTTTGCTTACACTGACTGACTGACAGGCTGACATGTTTGCCAGTCCTATCTAGAGATACTGAGAATTGCACATGAGATCTTCTACATTAGGCACGTCCAACAGGTAGATCGTGATCTACCGGTAGATCACTGGACATCTGTGGTAGATCACTGGCTCCCCCTAAAGAAGCTGAACAACTTTGGCTCCTCTAAAAAAAGCTCAACATTTTGGTCCTTCACCCCCCAAAAATGGGCCTTCCCTCCTCCCTAAAAGAAGCTCAACAAGTTTGACCTGAACAGGGCTTTCCTTCTGAAGAAAAGCTCAAAAACTTTGACCTGAACCCCAAAAAGGGGGTAGATCACTGCCAGTCTTTAACTCTGTGAGTAGATCGCAGTCTCTTGGGAGTTGGCCACCCCTGTTCTACATGAAAAGCAGGTGCTCTGCCACTGAGGTACAGAAGGTGGGATATAAATGAACTTCAATAAAATCAATGAATAAAACTAAATGAATATTTCCATGACTAAGTAAAACAGAGGCCCAGCTATATGCAACACTTTGTCATGTGTAGTTATCAACTTAAGGGCATACATAACACAACAAAAATGAAGCTGCAGAAGGATGCAGATATTTTTTATTGGGAGGATCTGGTGTGTCTGTGAAAGCATTAAGAAGCTGCTCCTCCATGCTTCCACACCTGTATATTTTACATTTGGTTTTAAATTTCAGAGTAAAACCACAAGTAGTTCCCAGATTTATGTTAAGTCACTATCTTACTGTGGGTTTTTATTTTCAATTTTGCCTTCATTCCTACCTAAGAGTACAGATGCAAGTTCTAGTTTTATAAGCAGAAGTTGGTTCAATTAGAAAGTTGGTAACATACCATACCTGAAGCTTCCTAATTTTTGAAGGGATCTGAAACTGCTGTGAAACTGCTGTGAATTTTATCAATAACCCAGTAAGTGCTCCTTAACATTTTTCTTCTGATCAGTACAAACCTTTACACATTAAGCTATTAATCTTACCCTGGCTTAGTTTAACAATTCCTGTTATGATGATGACAATAAGGGCAATGACTTTGGCATAGGTGAATGCATCCTGCACCCTTGTTCCCCATTTAACATAGGCACAATTTATAAACGTTAGAAGACCTAGGAGACAAAAAGGGAAGCAAGGAGGCATTAGAAAGTGCTTTGTTTTTGTCTTTTAAGAATCAGTCATTGGTTTGAAATTCTTCTCCATGCTAGAGCTAACATGTCACAATTACATATTTGTGCAAATAAGCTTAGGAAATCAGGATAAGGAAAAACTGTATTTATAAAGACACAGTTTTATTACTAAAACTTGTCTGTTATTTAACAGTTGGTTAACTTCCAACAAACTGCAAAGCAGAAAGGATTTCAGGACATATGCACATCTAAGGAGAGGGTTTAGAAGGCATGAAAATACTTCTTGGCCCAATTTGCAGTCTAATTATCATCTTAGGAGTAATCTTGTACCTTTGGAATGAAGGAAGGTTGCAAACGAATACACATTTTAAATGACAACATTCTTATCGAAAATAGGAATCACCACTTAAAAACTCTTTGACAACACAGTCTGTCAGTATAGTGGTTAAAAATACCCAAACCACTAGACCTAAAGGGCTAGAAAAAATTAAGGGTAGTTCCATGGTCCAGGGAAACATCTTAAACAAACCATTTTGATGGCATTTAAAAATTTTTTACTAAGAAATGAAGAAGCAAAAAGCAATGCAAAAGGCAATGCAAAATTAAATGCTCCTTTCCCTTTAACCATTTGAAATGCCTTAATTCTCATATTCTTGATTATTTCAGAAAAATAGAAAGCAATAAAAACATTTTCAGCCATCACAAAAATGTAAAAATTGCTTATAAACAAACTGCAGGAAAAAATGGCTGAATTTCTAATCTTTTTTCAGCAAGTCCTGAACTGCTCAATGAAATGGGAAGAGATTGACTAAAAGGAGGCAGGTTTACTTCTAGATTATGAGAAGCTGAAATTGAAAAGGATACTTCTAGTAACATTTCTAAAGGCTACTCAACTTATTACCATGCCCTACAACTCAAGTTGTTTCTATTTGACAAGCCAACCTAGATACACAGGGAGTATCTTATGACAACACAAAGTACTTATGAAACTACTCAGTAAACAACAGTATGATGAAATCTCTCTGTCTCAGTATAGCAGAAGAGTATTTATTTATTGGTTTTTACGCAACTTTGTATCCACAACTGCATTTTCCTTCCTAGCCCCTGAGATCACAGATCAAGGCAAAGAGTGTATCCTGAAATAAAAACTATTTTAATCGTGTCAATATTCTAACACATCACTGTTTCCACTGACTTGGGGAGAGAATGTTTTCATGACTTCTTGTGAGTAAAAAACCACCACACCAACCAGAGTTATGCGCATGTTTTCCTATCCTGGGTTCATTTACAAATAATAATAATAATATCATTCCAATCTGTGCTTCTCAGCCCCACACTAATTCTAGCCAGAGTGGTAAAACCACTCAAATCCTAATTGCCAGGAAAAGGTTGACAGACTGTGCAGTTCCCCAGAAAGCTCAAAAAAGACAAACCAGTTTCACTGAATTTCAGCCACTTAAAAAGTAGCTTTTAATGCTGCCCCAATTCAAAGCACTCCAAATGAAGAAACAGAAAATACATCATGACAGTAAGGGTAATAACAAATAAAATGCGGAAATTCACAACTTTTGAATTTAGTTAATCTAATCAAGTCACAAATGGGGAGCAAGAAAATAAAGGAACAATAATAGCCATATTTGGATGATTGTAGCTTGTCTTAACAAGTCAAGATATGTGTAAGCCTTTTGTCTGTGCACACCCTTCACAGCTCTACTCAAACAAAATGCTGAAGTATTGCTTTAACCATAGTTTCTGATTTTGTTATATGGTTATCAGCTTCAGATCTTAAACAACCAGACAAACATGCTAAGTCTACACTGAAGTCCCAGTGAAGCATTCAGCCAAAGAAGGAGAGGACAAACTGTGCAGGGAGTGTGGTGCCACACCCTCTACTCCCAACCATTGTGCATTCAACAGAAAGATATGAAGGGTGATTCTAAGTGTATTCAGCCAAATGTGCATCCTCAGACTGTCATACATTCAACGTGAAAGTCGGGAGTGGAGTGCAGTGGGCAGTACACATCTGGATGGTGCATGCATCCCTTACACAGTTTGTGTCCTCATGCATTTGGATTAAAGCCTAAATAAGGTTTTACAGCCTATATAAATGAATCCAGATCAGCACAGAGTTAAAAGCTTATTCTCTTCGTAAGAGAAAATAATGAGAAGAAAGATCTCAAGAATAGTAACAAACACAATAAGCCAGGGGTCACCAACCAAGCGGCTACAAGGACCATGGTGCCAACAAAGGCCTTCACTGGTGAACCCAGGCAGGGACCCCAGACTCTGAAAAAAAGACTTTAAAAAGTCTAAAGTCCGCCTACAAACAAAGGTATGGACCAAAATGTACAGATCCCCTTATAAGTGATTTCTGTGAAATGCGGAATTTATAGCCAATGAGTGAAGACAGTTCTATGGCCAATGAGTGAGTTGTTTCGACACCAGGTAATAGGAATCCTTAGGGTCTTAAAGAGCTGCTGTTTTCCCCTCCTCTTCAGTGCACTTTTCCTGCTTCTATCTTATTTTCCGGGCAGAAATTCAACAGGTTAATTTCTTTCTCAAATGGAAATACAATCACCATGATAGTACTTTCTCTAATCTTGTGTTGTGGTGCCATGTTGTATTATGCCCCCCATAACAACCATGTTGTGCCTCCTGGTCCAAGAAGGCTGGCGACCTTGACAATAAGTAATGTATCCTGTTTATTACTGTGAGCTTTCTATAAGGCCCAAGAACTAGCAAATCATTTCAAACATCAGAATGTAAAAGATGTTTTCCTGTATCTTACTACAATTGTCCACTAAGCTCATATGAATAATTTTGCATTTCTACTTTATTGCCTTTCACCTGCATTCTAAAAGATGTTACAAATTTTGAATATTTACAACTCTTGTCAAAGTGCATGGATATCTACCTGTTTTGCCTACTAACTGTTTTTCCTGCTAACAATTATCCAATGCTTCTGGAAAGTTCCTTAGTCTCCTCCTATACATATTCAGTGAATGTGCATAGCACTTTCAATAAGTTACTTCCAGTAAGTGTGCCAGGTTTGCAGTCTTAGCCTTCAAGTAAGTAATCTTGCCTAATCTCCTTGCATATGTACAGAGAGAGCCAAACAAAAATCTGCCTGTTATATCTTAAGCAGACAAAATTTTGCAGTGCAAGAGACATGTGGGCTGCATGGCCAAAGGTTCTGGCTTATGCTCCTAGGTTGTAAAAGGCTATATTTAGTTGCAAACTAAATAATGTTCTCACTGTTATAGCAACCAGTTAGTATGCATGGTTGTTCAGGGAAAATATGGATTTCAAGATCTGAACCTAGATTTTTTAAAAAAATCTATTCTTCCTAACCATTAAAAAACTAAATGGAAGACTCCTATTCCCCCCAAAATTAAAAATAATAAAAAAATATTCTCCACATAGCAGTTGTTGGTGATAAACAGGGAATCACTGTCTTCTTCATGTCCCAATTCATGTCCTAATTCCCAGAAACACAAAGAGCTGGCTAAAGTTGGAAATAATATACTGGCCCTTGTTGGTTCCTCTAAGAAAATCCTAATCCTAGGAATGCTAGAAGATTTTCTGCCTACAGCTCAAGACTTAATTGCTTCTATTTCTGGCTACTCGAGACTAAGGATATCTCAAGCATTCAAGTGGTCTTCAGACAAGTACAGTCCTGCTTGCAACCTTCATGCAGCATCTGTTCCTAACAGGAAATAGTCCCAGAATCCATAGTGGGAAATTGACACTATGACTGGATCCAGACACATCAAAATAGTGTTTCAAGAAAACATGTTGTAAACCTCAACATGGGAAATCACACTGGTGAAACACAGGACCCCACAGCGCCATCTGGAGTCACATATAAAACACTTTTTGTTTACTAATGTAGCTCAGTCCTATGTGTAGCAGTTTCATACCAGAGATTCTAGGATAGGTAGCTTCAGCCCCTGTTGGGAATAGATCAGGGCCCTTGGGAGTGCCTGCTGCTTTCCTTTAGCCAAATTTAACATTTGAATTTGAGGGGACAGGAAGGAGAGAAGGTAGAGGTGAGCTCTATGCAACAACCTTCTACCCTTCTGCAGGTTTTCAACTGGAATGCTCACAAAAGCTTGACTCCATTCAGGGCAAACAGTGGGACAAATTCAACCCTGCTCCTTCTGTCATTAATCTTGCCATAACTAAGTTAACTGTTTTGGAAGCATATTTGACTGTTGAATCATTGCAACTGATGCCTAGATGGACTCCTTTCTTTCCCAAGCCTACATCAAGGCAGCACTTTTGTTAATAAAATACTTACATATACAAGCCGCTGCAATAATTCGGCAAGCGATGTAAGGAGGTTGACAGGAAGGGAAGACAGGCTGCACGATATAGTTGGCAAATGTTATTGCAATAATTGCCTGGCTGGTTGGCTCAATGATCAATAGTGAAGTCCACAGTCGTATAAAGGCAATGAAGCTTCCAAAGGCCTCCAATATGTATGCATAACTAGCTCCTGATTTAGTGATAGTGGTTCCAAGTTCAGCATAACACAGAGCTCCAAATACTGAAAAAATCCCACCAATTGCCCAAATTACTAGTGACAATCCATAAGATGTACTGTAGTTGAGTACTCCTTTAGGGGAAACAAAGATACCTGAACCAATCATGTTTCCTACTATTAGGCTAATCCCATTAAGAAGAGAGATTTCCTTTTTCAGCTGCATTGTTCCTTGGTTTCCTTCATTTATTTGAGTATTGCCACTTTGATCTATTTTGTCTGCTTCCTTAATTGGGTAATATTCAGTCAGTGAATTCAGAGGTGACAAATTCTCTCTCTCTTCCATCATGATGTTCGCATGCATCCACTGCAACGCCAACCCCAAACTACAACAAAAGAGAAAGATATAATTAAATACTAGCAATTAACTTTTTGAGAGCTCTATTGGCTATTGAGTAATGTATAAGCGCTATAAACAAACAAACAAAGCAAAACAAACCTGAGACATTTTTGATTTATAGTGTGAAAGGTGGGAGACAAGTAGTCATATAACCAAAAAGCAGCATTGAAGCATTTATTACAGGGCTACTGCTCAAAACCAATTTTAAACTATAAAGTCTTAAAATGCTTCATCACAGTAAGTACAGCACACATTACACAAGTGTCTTTGTAGCAGATCTCTGGTCATTACTCATTAAAAGTTTCATTCCAAAGCCTGCACAAAATTGAGTCTTAAAGCAAGCCTGTAAATAGCCACATGCCTTGTCTGTAGTGGGCAAGAATTGCCTCCAATAAGACAGGAAAGTTTTAGTATGCTGGAAAATAGTTCAATCTTTTCCCCCTTCCAAACCATCTCAAAAGGTATGTGTCTGGGCAGACAAGCTAGTAACCTTTGTGGACTTACTTGCAAGCTGTATTAAAGTAATGTCACAAGTGCCTATTGCTATAATTATTCATTTAAAATTCATTTACTGCTTGCTGTATTATTATAACTACAGTGGTACCTCGGGTTACAAACGCTTCAGGTTACAGATGCTTCAGGTTACAGACTCCGCTAACACCTAAATAGTACCTCGGGTTAAGAACTTTGCTTCAGGATGAGAGCAGAAATTGTGCTCCAGAGGCACTTTAGCTTTGAGGAGAGACCATAGTTCAATGCCAGAGATGCATTGTTTGACCAAGATCCCTGGTTCCACCCCCAGGATATCCAGTTACGGAATCTCAAATTGTAAGGATGTAAAAGTTATTGTCTAAGACCTTGGAAAGCCACCGCCAGCAAACATAAATAGTCCATGGGTTGTATCTAAGTTTTACTCACAGTAGACCCATCAAAATTAAATGGATCAACTTAGTCATGGCCATTGATTTTCAAGCCTCTACTCAGAGTAGGACTGGCATTGGCAACAACCCCATACTGGGTTGGGTAGAGCATGTAAAGGCAGCTTTATATGTTCAGCTACAGAAACTTCAAAAATAAGGCCACTTTACACATAATGTCTTCTGACATTGAAATTATCTCAGTGCAGAAAAATGTCATCTCCAAACAGGCCCCACTTAGGAAGCATACTAATTGAGGTCACAACCAGACAGCACAGACAACACAAAATCCAGAAGGGATAAGTATTTATGGGACCATACCTCTGGAGTTGATATGCTTTACAATAAGGAAGGACAAATATGTACACACAGCCCATTTGTTATATTTAACTTACATTAGGAATGTCCTTTTGCATTTTTAGAGCACCATCCACCAAGCACAAGACCCCTTCATATCAAGCTTGGCTTTTATCACATTCCAGACATCCATCAGTAAAATCATCCAATTAGTCATTCATTCTCTGAATTAATGCACTGTCTAGAAAATCAGACATTTCTGCTTATAATCATAGCACAGGTTAATTAAGGAACATTTGTTAGGCATCTGGTAGATTGTGATGGGTTATCATGGACCATATTCTGTTCATTTGGTTCTTGAGGTTGTTGTTTTATTACTGTACTAATGGTTGCTAGGTTTAGAACTCTTTATTTTTATTCTCTTTGTAAGTCACCTAGAAATTATTTTTACATTAGGCAACTAATAAAACAAATACATAAATAATGAATAGAATATGCCTAAAAAATAAAAACCATAGAAAGTGTAATATCATATCAGGAAGCAATAGTCAACCTTTTTAGATATAGGACACACATACAAGACTTACTTTGGGGCTGGGGGCAGGTTACCTGTTGTTTCTGTTCTACTATCTCTTTCTCCCTTTTCTTTCACCTACTCTTTAAACAGATCTTAAACACAAAAAGGTGACCACTCCTGATAAGGCTGTGATCCACTTGGGACTTTCCACTTACCAGCTGGAAGTTCAATGCTGTAAGAGACAAACTCTTTCATACACTGGGGAGGGGGGAAATTTCTGGCTTTAGTTTAACTAGCGTTGCATCATATCTGATCAAACCAGTTGTTAAAAAATTGACTATGTTAAGTCTAACAAACACCACCGCTTCACAAATAAACCTATTGTTATTTTTAGCGGTCGGTGTCACATAAGTAACCTGAGCTCCTCTTGTGAAAGGAAAACCACACTAGAATGCATTTCCCTTTGAAACAACAGAAGGCAGTACTATTCTCAGTGATACTTCTGCTGTCTGCAGCTGAATTGATACTCTTTCCCAATTTATTCTATCTCAACATCACGAATACCATCACATTATTGTTTCTCTTAAAAAACACACCAAAAACTCTTTCAGGGGACACAGTTGTAATGTTCCTGACTGTCAACGTTTTGAGTGCAGGCTATTGTATCATGCACACCCTCTTTTCATGCATACAAATTGCTCTTGCCATTCCTCAGACAGCCTATGTCTGCACCAGCATTAGCCATGCATCCTCTAACCATGTTCTCTCTTGAATAGGCTTTCCAAACCCTGACTACAATGGGTGCATGGGTTAGCACTGACCATGCCCAAGATCAGTATAGGCATAAATCCTTGACCATGGTTAAAGCTATGAGAGGAAGGGTGAAATGAGTAAGTGCCATAGAGGGATGAAATACACAATCCCACAGCTTGCTCCTAATATCGTAATCATAATAAAAGATTAAGAGCAATACTTCTACACCAAACAATAGCTGTACTTTATCATCAGCCCAGAGGCCTGTAAATTTCTGGACAGTCAGTTTCACTGATTCAATCATCTTTACATTGTTACTGTGTTGAGTCTACAGAAAAACTCCTGAAAATCAGTATATATACTGTATTTGCTTGGTTTCAGCTAGAATTAACTAGAATTAACAACTGAGATGAAATTTTCATGGTCCTTCTCATTCTTTTTTGATTAAGAAATGGAATAAATAGGGGCAGAGACATTCATGAGTTACGAACTTAATTCGTTCCGGAGATCTGTTCTTAACTTGAAACTGTTCTTAATTAGCGTGCTTCTGCTAATGGGGCCTCATGCTGCCACTGCGCCGCTGGCACACGATTTCTGTTCTCATCCTGGGGCAAAGTTCTCAACTCAAGGTAACACTTCCAGGTTAGCATAGTTTGTAACCTGAAGCGTTTGTAACCGAGGAGTTTGAAACTCGAGGTACCACTGTATATGTATGAAACAGCCCCCCAAGTAAACAGACAGAGAAATTGTCAATTGCAAGAAAGACTGTACCACAAAGTACAAACTAATGTGCAGAATGGCTCCCCATTTGTGGAATGCTTTCCCCAGGGAGGCTCACCTGGCACCTTCATGATATATTGATAGGTGCCAGACAAAAATGCTCCTATTTAACCAGGGCTTTGGCTGATTAACATTCTATATCCTTTTAAATGTGTTTGTAGGAGGGGTTTTTTTGTTCTCATTCTTGTTTTTATTATATATTTGCACTCTCATTTTGTATATTTATGTTGTGAACCACTCTGTGATCTTCAGTTGGAGGGTGATATACAAATTTAATAAATAGTAATAACAGTAACAATAAGAATAACAGAAAAGTGGATTCCTAATAAACAAGCAATAGAAATCAAACCCAAACATGAAACCACCCACCCCTCAAATTCAGAGATGGTTTTGCTGCTGTTTGGCAAACATTCATAAAGAATTTGTGTTCTCAGATTAAAGGTGTCACTATACATGACAATGAAATATAGGGGGGGGCAGTGAGAAACCTACAAATTCTAGGTGTTTTTGAATACTTTTGAATAAATTGGAAGATGGGGGAAGGCCCATTAATGCTATTTACACCAAAAACTAAAATAAAAAATTGAATACAGAGTTCATGGTGGATTTATAGCAGGAACTACAATGACAATATACACACAAATCTCCAATGCTAATTTTGTGTCAGTTACTATGTACTTACTGCTTGAACGGCTTGTACAACGGCTTGCACACTAGTTACAAACTTTGTACGACAGCATCAACAATTCCAGCATTTTTAAAAACTGCCTTCCCAGAAATCAGTAGCTGGTCACAGTGCTCTCTCCTTCTGTCTCATGAATCAGCATCATATATTCTGTAGAATATACAAGTATTAGGATCTCAATAAAGTGGACTAAAATAAATAAGGACTGTGTTGAATATTCACTGCAGAGGAGTACAGGATATTCATAGCATTGTTTGGCATAAGTGAAACTACTACCAAACTATGGTAGGTAAAGGTAAAGGTAAAGGACCCCTGGATGGTTAAGTCCAGTCAAAGGCAGCTATAGGATGCAGCGTTCATCTCGCTTCAGGCCGAGAGAGCCGGGATTTCTCCACAGACAGCTTTCTGGGTCATGTGGCCAGCATAACTAAACTGCTTCTGGCATAATGGAACACTGTGACAGAAGCCAGAGCACACGGAAATGCCATTTACCTTCCCACCACAGCGGTACCTATTTATCTACTTGCACTAGTGTGCTTTCAAACTGCTAGGTTGGAAAAAGCTGGGACAGAGCAACGGGAGCTCACCCCATAGCGCTGATTTGAACTTCCAGCCTTCCGATTGGCAAGCCCAAGAGGCTCAGTGGTTAAGACCACAGTGTCACCCACGTTCCTACTATCAAACTAAAGCAAAAGAAGTTTGGTTATCATCACAGAGGAAGTATGAATCTGTGTTGTGTAAATTAGCAGAACTCCTATGCAGATAAAAATGGGAAGTGTAAATGTATCCTAAGATACAAAAGGAGACAGAATGGCACAGTGGGAAGGCAGGAAAAGAAAGGAAAGTACTAATTACACAGACTTAATTCTGGCACAGGAATCAGGTGCCTGATTTGTGAGCGTCTGCAGGGTGCTGTCAGACTAATACCCTAAACTCAAGTGACTTTATTCAGAAATATTTCCCACTGATTTCAGTGGACTCTACTTTCCAGTGAAACACAATTATAATCAGGCTGCAAGTTCTTGAAAACAAGATACTTAAAAACCATTCCAATGCAATACGTATACACCATCCTATATGTTTCTATGGTCATGGTCAGCACCAACTAGTTTCCCAGCTTAAGATGGATTGAGGGGTGGTGGGCCAGTTTGCCCCCATTCCTTGAATAGCCTTCAATAAAGGTGCCACAGGTGCCACTTCTCCACAAGTCACTTGCCTTCCAACTGGCAACTGTAGTGTGTCAGGTAAAAGGTAAAGGGCCCAGTCGCGGACGAATCTGGGGTTGCAGCACTCATCTCACTTTACTGGCCGAGGGAGCCGGTGTACAGCTTCTGGGTCATGTGACTAGAATGACTAAGCCGCTTCTGGCAAACCAGAGCAGCGCATGGAAACGCCGTTTACCTTCCTGCTGGAGTGGTACCTATTTATCTACTTGCACTTTGTGCTTTCAAACTGCTAGGTTGGCAGGATCAGGGACCGAGCAATGGGAGCTCACCCCATTACAGGGATGCGAACCGCCAACCTTCTGATCGGCAAGCCCTAGGCTCTGTGGTTTAACCCACAGTGCCACCCGCGCCCCTGGTATGTCAGGTAGCATCTTTTAAAAAAGCAGATTTAACTCAAGGTACTCCAGTTGTTGATCCCTTTTAAAAAGATGCAAAGCATTGCTATCAGTACAAAGAACAAAGACAATGAAGCTGCAGGCTTTGAAAACATGCCCTCTATGTGTAACATTAAACACAACAAAAGGGAGCAGAACCACATCCCCTGGTCCTGCCCCATCAGTCATTCATGTCATCAGTAGTACTTCAACAAATGGGGGTGGGGCTTTATGCATACACTTTTGTACACATAGGCTTCCCATGTGACCTGCTACCGCCATCACATAGGGTTCTTGAATGCATGGAAGCCTATGCACACACAACTGTGCATGTGTAAACAGCCGTTTTCAATCATCCTGAAAGGGGGAACATGATCCCTCCTCCCCCATTTCTAGGCTGCTAGGACAACAAAGTGTAATATGTGTGGATGGGTGTTGATTGTGTACTTTCCTCCATGCTGCAGTCCCCTTTTAGTAGTAGTGGTAGTATTTATTTCATCCATTTGTCACTTATATATAAAATGTTTCAAAACAACTTACATCTTATACCTTTACCTCATCTCTCCCACTCTTTCATACAGATGGTGAACAGCAACATTATTTTTAACCCTGAGGGTAGCAAAATATATTGATACAATCTCTGGTGCCTAGGAATATTTCCTGGGAAAGTAGACAAGATAATTGTTTCACCACAGCTATCTCTCCTTTTTCCTCATTCTCTCCAAGTAAAAGAGAGCCTAGTGCCCATTTATTTTAGTGCTAGGCTGCCAGTGATATAGTATGGTCCTTTTGTATTGCATCCTGAGGACTTTTGCGACCAGAAATTGATCAGAGTGAGGGAAAGTGTGTTTCTTTGTGTGTTTAAGTGTGGGTGAATGTGTGTTTGTGTAAGTACAAGTGTAATAAAGGGTTTGGAATTTGTGTAGGTATTGAGTGAGTGGAAGAGTATTGAGTAGAATATTCTTTTTGGAATGCCCTTCCATCAGATGTCAAAGAAATAAACAACTATCTGACGTTTAGAAGACATAGGAAAGTTTTAAATGAATGATGTTTTAATGTATTTTTAATCTTTTGTTGGAAGCCGCCCAGAGTGGCTGGGGAAACCCAGCCAGAGGGGCAGCGTATAAATAATAAATTATTACTATTACTATTACTATTACTATTACTATTATTCTGATGTTTTGCTTTACATACTATTTTGCTCTATTTTGTTGTTTGTTTTCCTGGCTTTTTCATAAACAGTGGTATACAAAATCTGAAAAAAAGAAAAGTAGATTTACTTTGGCAGCAGCCCCTTATCCCCTGTTCCATACAAGTGAATGGGGGAAACTCTATTCAGACCTTCTAAAATGTTAAGCTCGGAGAGGGCCCCTAATGGTAGTTCCCACCCTTTCCCTCTGAATATGAGTCATTTTTACTGATTTTAATACTGTATTTTTAATTGCCCTGGAACCTCATGGTGAAAAGTGGATAAGAAAGCAAACAAAAACTCCCATTCACTTGTACGTGGACTTGGCTGCAACAAGGAACAGGAGCTGCCATCAATCCATCCAACCCAAAGTGCCTTGGTCCTCAGCTGCAGGTGTCAGGCTCCACTAGTGCAGGGATTCCTAAACTGTTGTCCATGGGCATTGTTTAGGGGCAGGGGATGAGAGCCCCTCACAGGGGCCTGCCCAGGACACCTTGCTGTCTGGGACAGAGGACCAAATGGTGCCCCACCCCAGTAAAGGTGTACAGCACCTACAGACTATTCAAGTTATTTTACACAAAAATTAGCTGCATTAATTATTGTTATATTTATTTATATCCCACCTTTCTCCCCAGAAGTGGGATTCTAGGTGGCTCGCAAAAATTAAAACAAACATTAGGCTAACCAAAGCATCACAAAATAAGTGTGCAAGCTTCCAAGTTGTCCAGAACTCTTCCTCAAGTCAAATCAGCCTTTGTCAACCTCATGCCCTCCAGTTGTTTTGGACTACAACTTCCACCAGCCCTGAGCAAAATGTTTGGAGGGCACCAAGTTGGCGAAGGCTGGGCTTAGATGTTAGCCTGTGCAGGAGAAGAGAGAAAAATGATGCTTAACTGAGGCCTTCCCCTGACAGCCAATTTTTTCTTTTTCTCTTGTCCCCACCCCATTTTGCTTTTTGTCTGCCTTCTAGGGAAGACTGATGAAAAAACCTAGAGGACTTCGGAGCTTGCACACTATTTGGCAACATTTAAGTCGGCCCCATAGAAACGTCCCCAGGCATAAAACACTGACTCTCCTATTCCTGGTGGTGGTAACAGCAGATAATAACATCAATCTGAAAATAGTAATAATAATAAATATTCAATCTGAATATTCAGCATTTGAAACACACAGAGAGACACACCCCAAAACCCGCTGCCTAATGGCAGGGCCGGCCTGAGCCACCCGCCACCCTCCTCGCGCTGCCCCAACACCCAAAATAAAATAAAACAAAACCTTTTGTGGCGCCTGCACTGGCGATAAAGAGAAACGGGACCTCGGAGGCAGCGAGCGAGAGGCGCAGGAAAAAGAATAGAGCAGAAAAAGCCGGTCTCCTTCCGCCGCCGCCTCGTCCCACCCGCTGCCTCTGAGGTGAATCCCTGAGGCACCTCGAGGGCGCCCACCTTGGCTCTTCGCTCCCCTTTAAGCCTCGCTTCTCCTCCTCCTCCTCGCTCACCTCACGCCCCGCCGAGCCGGAGGGATGCTCAGGCGAGAACGCCAGCCAGCAAGCCGGGCAGCCTGCCTGCTGCCGCCTCCCGCGCAGGCGACCTCTAGCCGAGCAGCTTCCTCCGCCTCTCGCCTTGTTTTGTTTTCCCCTCAGCGAGGGCGGCGAAGGAGCTGGGCTGCCGGCCCAAGGCCCCGCCCCGCCGCGGCTGAGGCGCTCGCCTGAAGAAGGCCGCCCTGGTGGTGGTGCTGGTGGTAGCAGCAGCGGCAGCGCAGGCAGCGGCCTGGACGGGGCTCCTCCCACCGCCGACGCCCTCTGGCGTCTTCTTAGCTTCTCGCAGGCTCTCGTCAGAAAGGCCCGGCGGGCTATTTTGGTTTTTCAGGTCGAAGAAGCAACACCACCACTGCAAAACCACGAGAGAGAAAGAGTTGAAGAAAGGGAGCAAGGCGGCGGGGGGGGGGGAGTAGGGGGCGTTTACATATACACAAGAAAAGGTGAAAAGATTTGGCACAGACCCCATTGGGGTCAGCAGGGTTTGTTCCTAATAAAACGTGGGAGGAAAGTTATAAGGCGGGCAAACGGATGGGCACACCCCAAACTACAGGAGGAACAGCGCATTTGTAGTGAAGTCAAACAAATAATTACGATTATTCATCAAAACTATATTACTAGGTGACCAAGCCAACTCCCTACAATGCAAGAATCTCAGCTAAAGCATCCCGTACCAGAAGGATTTATTACAATTTATTATGGACATTTTCTGCAGGCAACGTGCAGGATTCCCTTCCCTCTGTTTTATCCTCACAACTGCCCTGTGTGAGGTATGTTAGGCTGAGAGATGGTGACTGACTCAGCATGTTAAAAAAAGAAGGGGGGAGGGACTGATTATATGGGAGGCAGCACACTGCAGAGGAGCATGGATTTTCATTGTAAAGAAAAGTGTTTAAAAAGCATGATGTTTTTGGGAGAGAACTTAGTTCTACACCAGCTGCATAGAAAGCTTAAGTTGACAGTTCCATTCTTAAGTAAAAGAATATTTATTTTTAACATTAAGGGTTTCAAATTTTGTAAGCAATATTGTTTCTCTCCCTTTAATACATGTATCTCTTCTTCATTTACTCCATCTCCTGAGCCTCAGACTGACAAATCAATTAAAGCTTAAGGCTGCCATCCTAGGCACACTTATCTGGAAGTAGGTCCCATTGAATGCAACGGTATTTACTTCTGAATAAACTTGGATGGGATTGCAGTCCACATATGTAAAATGGCCACACCAGGCCGTCAATAAATATAAACAATACAATAATAAGTCAATAATATAATGAACACGGTGACCATTCACAATGTAATAACAACAAAATGCACTGTGTGAATATTGAAATATACTCGGAGTCGAGAGTGGATTTCATGCTCTTTATTCAGCTCATAGTGGTGAGGAGGAATGGAAGTTTCCCCACAATATCTGCTTTATATACATTATTTACACAATGGGCTGCACGTGATAGGCTATTTCCGAGATTCTCCTGTAGGCCAATCAGGTTGTGGATTCACTTCCACCTGGAGCTGGATTGGGTGGCTCCTGCGGACCAATCATACTGCTGCATTTTGGATCCTATTGTTCTAGGACCAATCAGACTGCTGCATTTTGGATCCTATTCAACTCAGTACATAACAAATATTAAAAAGAAAAAACAAGATATCCTCATCAGCATCCCTTCCCCAAGATGCTTAGAATCTAAAATTCACCACAGGAAACAACAGAAAGGAAGAGCAGGGGCAAAGAGGAAAGTAGTAAGCAGTTTACTATATGTCTCTAAGCTTAGCTACACACAATAGGACAAGAGAACAGGCTTGGGGACACCCTTAGGTAGCATGCCTTCAATGGCACTTCCTTTCTGAGTGGCTCAGAGCCAGCTCTGCCATTAGAAAGTGTGAGGCCTGGAGTAGCACAGTGCTCAAGGACAGAGCACTGTGTGCTACTTAACCTGGCTCACTCACTGGATCATCACCTTGTCGTGTTGAGTGGGCTTGCACGTTCCTATGACCCTTGTGAGCAAAGCCATCAGGAATCTCGTACTCCCAGCAGGGTCACCCAAGGTGGTAAGGTCAAAGGGAAGGAGCTAGACAAAGAATGATCCAAGAAGTCCTCAAGGGCAGAACAGGCGGGTGATAACAAGCGGTATGTTACAACGGCTGTGAAGGTGGATGAAGGCTGCAGCAGATAAGAATCTACCGGTTGTCGTGACTACTCATGCCATCAGGACAGAGCCTTACTGCGAAGACTGTGTGTTGGTCAGTGTGCACTGATCTACACACATAAAATAAATTCACGCACAGGCATCTTCCAGAAACCCACCCCAAACCCAAACCCCCAAAGTCCCATGGCGATCAGCAAATTGTAACGGGGGCAGAACAAGGAATGGGGTGCCATCTTGCCCTTTGCCAAGCCCAGGCAGCAAGCTATCTTGGTCAGGATCTAAAACACACTTGTTCTGTTTTAAGCAGCAGGAGACAAGGTTTCAGTGGCACCATGGACAGTTCCCTGTGCATTTCAGACTGGAGACTCCTTTGAAGCAAAACTTAGATGTTGTTTCAGCAGTAGTCATCCTCATTTTATGCTGAAATTTTGTTTTAATGATACTGTTTGCTTTTATGTTGCAGACTGCTAAGATATATATATATATATAGAGAGAGAGAGAGAGAGATATTTATGAATACTTATAAATAAAGAACACATGATTTACAAATATGTGTTAAGTGGTTTTAACAAATTATTTTTTATTGGTGTTTCAATTATCTCATTTTTACCTTTTTTTACTTTATATTCTATTGTTTTACTATAATATGTTATATTCTATTGGATTTGTATTATGGGCATTGAGCACCAATTGGTGGAAAGCTAGGGTACGAAGCTAGCAAACAAATGAGCAGGAATCAACATCCCAACTACTTGCTGGAAACCGAGCTGAGTGGCAGCGAAGACTTGAGAAGCCTAGATGAATTATCCAGAGTTTATTATCCAGCCCTCATCAGCTCCAATCCTAAAGTTACAGATTAGGACAGTGGCCCTTTTAAAGAACAGATATGTCAACAGAAGCAGAGCTAATAGGAGGTACCTGGCCAGCAGCCTTCATGAGTCCTCAGAAGCAGCTATCTGTGACAGAGTTCATGCCACCACATGTCCAGTGGCCTGGATTTTGGCAGTACCTACCTACCTACTTGGACTGGACTACTGGATGTGACACAGCACTAGACTAGGCTTGCTGTGACCTGTCCCTGCTGTTTGAGGTGCAATACTTCTGTGGACCCCAGTCTGTGAGAAGACAGAACCTTCAGTTACCTCAATTCCTTTATATTCAGTTATTTAGTAATCTCAGTTCGTTACCTCATCTTCACCACAGTAGTCCTAGGGTGGGGTACATTTATTTATTACAGCATATTAAATAACATTAAAACATCACTTAGAACTGTAGTTAAAATGCAGTGATTACTACAGTCCAGAACAAGATGGAAGGAGGAAAAGAAAATCAAACCAGATTTTGGCATCCTTGGCTCAAATCTTCCAAAGCAGTTTAAAAATTAACTATTGCAATATCAAAGGAGGGAGAACAGTCAAAAGAGATCCTCTTTCACGATATATGTCAGAACCATAAGCAGGCAATTCCAACCAGCATGGTTATCTTTTGCACAGTTTAAACGCAACTGGGAGTGACATTCCATTGTAAAGAAAAACGACCTATGCAAAGGAGAAGGCCCATTCATCCCAAAATGACATCTTAAGGCAAATAAAGTCATAATCTTTACCCAAATAAGCAACAATAAAAATGGGCAGGTTTATATCCACAATAAAGAGCTTTCCAAGTTAGAAAAAAACTGTTTAAAGAAAAAAACTGTTCAGAGGAGGTAAAAGGAACTGAAGAAGCAGAGAAGTATGCTTGCTATGAACAAAAATTATTTTGTTTATATTGTACATTTCCTGAAGCCTTTTTTTAAAGAAAGGGGCACTGTCAACCTTTAAATCTAGTTTGATATTCTGCAGTGATGGAGAGGTTACAGAAGAGCAGACTATTAGATCATTACAGCAATGAAGACAAGAGGGAGTATTTTGGCAACTTTAGATACTAGTAGTTTATTGTGGAAGGAGTGTTTGTGCCTGTTTCCTACTTCTCCTGTTCCTCTCCATGGTTTTGCTTGACCATTGACTGCTGTATAAAATCCTCTGTAAGAGATTTAATAAACTCCCAGTTCTTTCAAGACAGCCTAACTCTCTTCCATTTTGATTGTAGCCAAGGTTAGTTCTACTCAGAGTTAACCCATTGAAATTAATGGGCACGATTAACTTAACTCCATTAATTTCACTGGGTCTACAGTAAAATCCCAGAGTTCCAGTGATTAGAAATAATACTCCATTCCCTGAGAGTTAAAATCAAAGAGACATGAGACAAAAGGAAAAGAGATTGGGAGGCAGGAAGAAAAAAACCTAATTCAAGCACTAGCTCTTGAAATCCTTACGGTTTTTTTTCCTGGCAGGAAGTGAGAACCTCAGAGGATTTGGCTCTTGCAGTGCTTTGCTTTGCAGTGCACACTGGCAAACATCTGAACTCTCACCACTGACCCTGTCTGCTTGCTTGCTACCTGCTTAACCCACACAGCCAGTTAGTCAGGGTGACAGGGAGGGCAAATAGCACTGCTAACAGGATACCATGATTTATTTTTTTAAGAAAAAGGAAGCAGTGGGAAGGAGAAAAGCTTAGTGGCCAATTGTGAGGCGGACCAGAATGCATCTCATCTGTGGCCCCCTTCAAACCTGACAGAACCAGCATATGCACCCAAATGTTACAGTTACGCATAGTTGCAACAGGCTACAGGTTAGTTTCTCAGGGACGCGGGTGGCGCTGTGGGTAAAAGCCTCAGCGCCTAGGGCTTGCTGATCGAAAGGTCAGCGGTTCGAATCCCCGCGGCGCGGTGCGCTCCCGTTGCTCGGTCCCAGCGCCTGCCAACTTGCACCCCCGGGTGCAAGTAGATAAATAGGGACCGCTTACTGGCGGGAAGGTAAACGGCATTTCCGTGTGCTGCGTTGGCTCGCCAGATGCAGCTTTGTCACGCTGGCCACGTGACCCGGAAGTGTCTCCGGACAGCGCTGGCCCCTGGCCTCTTGAGTGAGATGGGCGCACAACCCTAGAGTCTGTCAAGACTGGCCCGTACGGGCAGGGGTACCTTTACCTTACCTTTAC